TATACAGAAGTAAGATTAGGGACAAGATTGGCCCACTTAAGAGTAACTCTGGTCAGATCACTGACAGTGATAAGGATATGTGTGAAATTCTAAATACCTACTTCCTCTCAGTTTTCACCCAGGAAAATACTAGTGATACTCCTGAAATAATAGATTATGTAGAACAGGATGATAATAAACTATGTACGATTGCGGTAACTAGTGACATGGTCCTCAGACAAATAGAGAAACTAAAACCTAACAAATCCCCAGGCCCTGATGAACTGTTTGCAAGGGTGTTAAAGGAATGTAAAGAGGAACTTAGCATACCTTTGGCTAATGTTTTTAACATATCACTACAAACTGGCATAGTGCCTGATAAGTGGAAAATGGCAAATGTGATACATATTTTCAAAGCAGGTGACAGGTCCTTGGCTTCGAACTATAGACCAATAAGCCTTACCTCCATAGTGGGAAAATTTATGGAATCAATAATTACCGAAGCAATTCGTAGCCATCTTGACAGGCACAGATTTATTAATGAATCTCAACACGGTTTTGCAAAGGGACGTTCCTGTCTTACGAATTTAATAACTTTTTTCACTAAGGTGTTTGAGGAGGTAGATCATGGTAATGAATATGATATTGTGTATGTGGACTTCAGTAAGGCTTTCGATAGAGTTCCACATCAGAGGCTATTGAGGAAACTTAAGGCACACGGAATAGGAGGAGAAATTTTTTCCTGGGTAGAGGCATGGCTGACAAATAGACAGCAGAGAGTTTGTATAAATGGGGAGAAATCAGAATGGGGGCACGTCACAAGCGGTGTTCCTCAGGGGTCAGTGTTGGGCCCGTTGTTGTTCACAATTTACATAAACGACATAGGTGAGGGAATAAATAGCGACATAAGCAAATTGCTGATGATCACCAAAATAGGCCGTCCAATTCATTCTAATGAGGACACTAGAGCACTACAGGATGATTTGAATAGACTGATGCAATGGTCGGAGAAGTGGCAGATGCAGTTTAATATTGACAAATGCAAAGCTCTAAATGTTGGACAGTTTAAATAACCATGCCACATATAAACTAAATAATGTAGATCTTAATACTACTGATTGCGAAAAGGATTTAGGAGTTCTGGTTAGCAGTAATCTAAAACCAAGACAACAGTGCATTAGTGTTCGCAATAAAACTAACAGAATTCTTGGCTTCATATCTAGAAGTATAAATAATAGAAGTCCTCAGGTTGTTCTTCAGCTCTATATATCCTTGGTTAGGCCTCATTTAGACTATGCTGCTCAGTTCTGGTCACCGTATTACAGAATGGATATAAATGCTCTGGAAAACGTACAGAGGAAGATGATAAAGATTATCCCATGTATCAGAAATCTTCCCTATGAGGATAGACTGAGGGCCCTGAATCTGCACTCTCTCGAAAGGCGTAGAATTAGGGGGGATATGATCGAGGTGTATAAATGGAAAACAGGAATAAATAAAGGGGATGTAAATAGCGTGCTGAAAATTTCCAGCCAAGACAGGACTTGCAGCAATGGTTTCAAGTTGTAAAAATTCAGATTCAGGAAGAATATAGGAAAGCATTGGTTTGGTAACAGAGTTGTGGATGAGTGGAACAAACTCCCGAGTACAGTTATTGAGGCTAAAACGTTGTGTAGTTTTAAAAATAGGTTAGATAAATACATGAGTGGGTGTGGGTGGGTGTGAGTTGGACCTGACTAGCTTGTGCTGCTGGGTCTGGTGTAGTGCTCCATCCTTGAGTGGAGATGGGTGGTTCATTGGGCTAATCCGGGGGGGGGGGGGTCATTGGTCTAATCCGTGGGGGAACATGGACCTGCTCCGCATGGGTCAGTAGGCCTGTTGCAGTGTTCCTTCTTTCTTATGTTCTTATAGCAGCAGAATGTACATGTTGGCTGGACCTATTGCCCACGTTGTTCATGATTCATATAACAAATATAATAAACATGCCACTTTACCCTACACTCTGTTCCCACCAGTACTTGACCTCACCAGGCATGATCTCTCAATTTAATGACCTCATGTGTGACCTGCTTTAAAAATTTAATAACTTAATGTGTGACCTGATTTTTTTTTCTCTGAGCCTGACCTCAGAGTGCTTGTTTGCCTCATAAGGCAATGTATTTGCTCATTCCTGTGAGCATAACAAAGCCTAGCCTTGGGTGAAGCGTTGTGTTAAAAGGATTCTCTGCTACTATTGTTTAACAACTTCCCCCTCCCCCGTCCCATTGTAGTCTCCTTTTTGATGGAATTATATTTTATTCATGGGGAAGTGCTAAACACACATTAGGGCATTCAGGTTTGTACTAAGGAAGGCAAGAGAAGTTCCAGTTCCTTGGATCATCAGCCATTCACTCCATCAGTTAGTTAGTTTAATATCTTTATTATGCACCCCATACCCATCAGTGCATCCCTTATAACAGTTTTGGTGGCATTAAAATTTATTTTCTATTTTCTTGTACTGTATCTTTTTATCATGAGGTTATCACTTCTCTTTTATCAGGTGGTTATGTCTCCTCTTTCATCATGTGGTTATCATGTCTCCTTTTATGGGATTATTATGTCTCCTCTTTCATCATGTGGTTATCACGTCTCTTTTATCACGTGTTATTATGTCTCCCATTTTATCTATTTTGAAATCTACCAGTATAGCATATGAGTTTCTTGCTAGTGTATTTAGCTGATCTTCAGGTGATTATTTGTTGCAGTCAAATACATGCATAGCACATGTATGCTACACTTCTTGATGATCATTTCAATTATTGGTAGAAATACAGTATAAGTTCATTGACATCTATGGAAGTTATACAGTGGACCCCCGGTTAACGATATTTTTTCACTCCAGAAGTATGTTCAGGTGCCAGTACTGACCGAATTTGTTCCCATAAGGAATATTGTGAAGTAGATTAGTCCATTTCAGATCCCCAAACATACACGTGCAAACGCACTTACATAAATACACTTACATAATTGGTCGCATTCGGAGGTGATCGTTATGCGGGGGTCCACTGTATTTTTATAACGGCCACCATGTTCACAGGTGTGGGCAAAATCATTGTAAAAAATTTGGCAATTAAATTTGACTCCTACCTACACTACCTTTCCCTGAATAAATCCAAAGGCTTATAAAAAGATCTCAGAACATAATTTAAATAATCCTTAGGGTAATATTGGGTGGTCAAAAACTGACAGTTTGACCCAAATACGTTATGTTACAACTGTAATATTTCTATGTAGGCATTAAAGTTACAAGTACCATTACCATCTAGATTTTGTATTGAGGGTATGATTCATTTTCTCATGTCAGTTGCTTCTTTATTGTAAAACAAACTTCATCATATTGAGGAATTTGATGACCACATTTTCTGTTCGTCTCATACGTTAATCTAGGTTATTTCTTTGTAATTTAAGCCTCCTATTACCTTAGTAACTTTTCAGTATTTGTTTATTCTTAGTATATTATGTAATCCTTTATATATACAACATTAACAACTTATCGTAATTGTTATAATTGGTAGATTATATACATTTACACAATGAGTTCTTTATATCTGTTTTGGATTTCAGTCACTAAAATTTTACCATATTTGTAATTTGGATTTTAATTTCTGTAGCTCAAGTATTTTTTTTTACTAATACAGTACAGTGGACCCCCGCATAACGATTACCTCCGAATGTGACCAATTATGTAAGTGTATTTATGTAAGTGCGTTTGTACGTGTATGTTTGGGGGTCTGAAATGGACTAATCTACTTCACAATATTTCTTATGGGAACAAATTCGGTCAGTACTGGCACCTGAACATACTTCTGGAGTGAAAAAATATCGTTAACCGGGGGTCCACTGTATTTCTAAACTGCCAGTATAATTAAGCCTTGATAATGGTTAGGGTAGATTAAAATTTTGTCTATTTGTTTCTTTATTATTATTATTATTATTTTAATAACTAAGTGCTAAACCCACAAGGGACATACAACTCTTGTTTTTCATCTTCAAATTGTGGGTTAATTGTGACTTCTCATAAATGGGATTTCTTCATTTGATTGATCTTCTGTAATGGTTATTACTCTCAGTCTTTGTTTTCTTATCTAATTTTTCAAGTTCTCCTTTGCCTGACTTCAGACTTAATTTCAAAAGCATATTTTTCTTTCTTATGTTTGCTTATTCATTTGTATTCTGATTTTATTTTATTTTGTGTTAAAATTATCTTTTGTATTTTATAATCATACTAACTTGCCTGTCTCTCACTTTTTCCTTTAACATTTTTTTATGGATTTTGTTTCTGAGTACAACAAAAAGTAATGACAGTATTATCCCTGTTGGCAAGTATACTTCAATACATTATGACCATTTTAATGCACTTTTTCTTGTTGATTTTCTTGGGTTTGCTCTGGTGGTTATTTCTTTAACTTTTTTTTTGTACTTGAGTTTCCAGATCTGCACCTTGGTTACCTATAGTTGCATACTTCTAGTTAATTTATGCAGTTTTTTTTTTAATCCTACCTCCTTTATTTATTTTGCCAGATCTTGTTTCATTGCCATCTTATATACAGTAGTATTTTTCGCTTGTTTCAATGTCTTTTTAATGGAACTCATTTTCTAGTTCAGTATTTATTATAGTTGGCACCTGATCTTATATCTATGATACCTGTGTATGTGTGTGTGTTGTGAATGTGTGCGTACATGCATGTGTGCATGCGTATTTTGCACTGCATTTTGCATGAGAAATTAGAGAGTATGTGTACCGTATATTTATATATTGTAATTTTTAAGTGACTATTTTAACGTAGATTATATAATAGAAGTGGTACTGTTAATGAAAGCGTTTTAGTACCTTTCTTAGCGTATAGTCCAGAACCGAGGAATAGATTATAGTTTTTAGAATTCCTCACATCGAAGATAGATTCCATTAAAATGCAAGATGACTTTCAGGAACCTCTATTGAAAAGTTTGTTTGTTCCACTTATTATTGTTTTTTCAATTAGTCCCTGACCCAGATCTTAAGAGGAGTGAGACAGAGGAGATTGCTGGCCTCGTAAACTGGAACCGACCTCACAAGCGAGCATATGGTCTGTCTACAACACTTTACGAGCGTCATCCTGTCACTAGTGAGCGGGCTGGTAAGACATATTACTGTCTTTGTCAATGACTGCAGTAAAGCCTTTAACAACAATATACTGTAGTTGTATTCCTATAAACTATTTATTGATATACCATGTTTTAAAAAGTACTCTATTAAAAAAAATAGGTTATGCCCAGTCCGGCAGCCCAGTTTTTCTTAAAGTGAACACCATATTCCATTTCAGGTTGAAACTTTTAGCTATTCAGAATTTATTTTCCACTCCACTGAAAGCATAACATAATGTTGGCTTTTTTTTTTTTTTTTTTTTTTTCTACAACTCCCTGGATATGGATACCTGGGTACAATCTACTTAGGTGCGGCCGATAAACAGGAAACATGGTGGGTGACAAGGTGGTGACCCTATAGATTTAAACAACTATAGGCCAATATCAAACTTACCATGGCTATCCAAAATCTTGAGAAACTGTGCACAGGAGACTATATTCATTTATAACGTCACAAAACATACTCAACCCCTGCCAATTTGGATTCAGGAAAAATAAAAGCACTAACGATGCAATTATAAAAATGCTAGATCTGCTTTACACAGCATTGGAAAATAAGGAATATCCACTAGGAATTTTTATTGACCTAAGAAAAGTTTTTGACACAGTAGACCACGGCATCCTACTCCACAAACTTGACCATTATAGTATAAGAGGCCATGCGCTTGCATATTTCAAATCTTACCTTACTAATAGGTATCAGTATGTCACCATTAAAGACACAGCATCAACAACACAGCCACTTGATACTGGAGTTCCGCAGGGAAGTGTCCTTGGTCCCCTGCTCTTCCTCATATACATCAGTGATCTTCCAAACATATCTCGACAGCTGAACCCCATTCTCTTTGCTGACGACATGACTTATGTCGTCTCTCACCCTAATCTTGCAACCCTCAACACCATTGTTAATGAGGAGCTGATCAAAATATCGACTTGGATGACAGCCAATAAACTTACGCTTAACGTTGACAAAACCTACTACATTATGTTTGGTAGCAGAGCAGGAGATGCGCAAATTAACATTAAGATCGACAACACACTAATTACCAGGCATAATGAGGGCAAATTCCTAGGCCTATACCTCGACAACAACCTGAACTTCAGCACCCATATCCAACACATAACCAAAAAAGTATCCAAAACGGTTGGGATCCTCTCCAAGATACGATACTACGTCCCGCAAACTGTCCTTCTCACACTATACCATTCACTTATATATCCATACCTCACCTATGCTATCTGTGCTTGGGGTTCAACTGCAGCAACACACCTAAAGCCAATAATAACCCAACAAAAAGCCGCAGTAAGAATAATCACTAAATCCCATCCCTGGCAACACACCCCCCCACTCTTCATAGATCTAAACTTACTCCCTGTTCAGTACATCCACACTTACTACTGTGCAATCTACATCTACAGGACCTTAAATTCCAATATTAACCTTGACCTAAAACGCTTTCTTGATAGTTGTGACAGAACCCACAGGCACAACACCAGACACAAACATCTCTATGACATTCCCCGTGTCCGACTAAACCTTGACAAAAATTCAATGTATGTCAAAGGCCCTAAAATCTGGAACACCCTACCTGAAAATTCCAAAACTGCAGACACATTCATCACCTTCAAAACTACCATCAGAAAACATCTTATCTCCCTGATACACCCTGTCAACTAATAATACGAATACCACCTGGTGGTTCACACTTACACTCACTCACCCATTTGACCATAAACAGAAATATCAATCTCAATCTCAAAATAATGAATTTTAACTAGTCAAAAGTTGGCCTGTGATACTCCAATACTGAAACTATGTACTGTGCCAAAACAAAAGAATTCACATTGCTAAACTCACAACTAGTATTTAGTCCCTTAGCCATAATACCAACTTATCTCATAATTCTGTAACATTTTAAACCTAAGATTTAATATAAGTCTGCCCGAAATGCCTAGCCATGCTAGGCGTTCTAGTGGTACACTCTGTAATTATTATTTTACTACATGTAAACCACACAATAACCAAATTCTGTAAACTCAGCATTGTAATACTTATAGAGAATAAAGTTTGAATTTGAATTTGAATTTGAATTTGAATTCAACTGCACTAAGTTACTTAATACTACAAAAGAGATAGTCATAGTCTTGGCAGTTAATATTGAAAAATCAGAATCTAGTTGTTGTGCTTATATATATGAACCACTATATACCACATCTCAGCAGCTCCAGGACCAAGGTTTGAAAATCAAGCAGGCCTTTATAAGTTTAAAGAGATGGAACATATACTAATGATAACAATTATATGATTGAACTACTGAAGTTACAATACAACTATGTATTCAGTGAGCCACTAATCGGCTTAAAGACTGAAGACCCAAATGAACTTTCATGAATGAGACTCGAAATGCTGCTGACAGTCCTATGATTTCTGACAACCCTAACCCCACTTGATTTCAAAATCACTGATAGCACTCTTACCTAGGCCAAAACTCCTGGAACTCGATATTCATCAAATATTGCAAGAAACCATTATCTTGTGCCTTAAATAATGTATGAAGAAAGATCCTTAACACAAGAGTCAACCTACAGTCAGTAAAATCCACTGATATAGTCCCACTCCACAAAGTTGGTAATACTGTAAAGCAGTTGCAAGACTGCCACTCACAGGGAATCACAGCAATTGCACATCCTAGGGCAGCGGACGATTAGAGCAAGTCACTCCTGACTTTGGCAGTTGCAGGACCATTATAATGTATATTGGAGACACTGGAAGATAAACATAATGCTGATATAATGCACTGTACGCTCATTTAAAAAGAGAGTTTTCAACATGCGCAGCCATGTTGTAATAGCATATAAAATGCATGCAAAAGGAATGACTGGAAGACTGGAAAGATCAGATATTTAACTGCTTAACAAATAGAATCCAAAGAGTTATAGTAAACAGATTGAAATTGGGAGGCTGTCATAGTGAAAAACTCGGTTTCCTAAAGTGCAGTACTTGTTCCACTTCCCTTTCTCAGTTTTATATCTGACATAGACAGGAACATTTATGACATACCATCCTTTGCAGATACTAGGATTTGTATTAGAGTGACATTCATTGAGGACACAGTAATTTTTCAAGCTGATATTAACTAACTCTTGTAGTGAGGAAATAAACACAAACTTTAATCACTCAGTAGAATGCAAGTTTAATTTGAAATACTTTGAAGTAATGTTGAAGCTCTAACATTCACTGATCACAAATGTTATTAGCGGAGTTGCAAGGAAAATGGTGGGCTGGATAACTAGAACATTCAAAACAAAAGATGCCAAACCAGTGATGATACTCTTCAAATCACTTTTTCTCTCCAGGCTGGAATATTGCTTTATAATAATAGCCTCATTCAAGCCAGGTGGAATAACGGAACTGGAAAACACAGAGAACTTTTACTGCTTGTATAAATTCAGTCACGCACCTGAATTGCTGGTAATGCTTGAAGTTCTCAAACTGTATTCAATGAAATGTAAGTGAGAAATATATATCATATTCTACACCTGGAAAATTCTGGAGGAATTGGTCCGAAATCTGCACACTAAAATCACTCCATATGCAAGCTGTAGTCTTAGCTGGTGCAAAATGCTTCTAATGAAAAATAGGAGTGTAATGAGTACACTAAGAGAAAACTCAACAAGGGTAAAGGTACCAAGACTCTTCAACACCATGCATAAGGGGAGTTATCAATAAGCACCTAGGTATTTTCAGGAAAGAACATTAGTTTAAGTAAGTTACTGATCAGTCGGGCTTTGGTGCACATGCTGGTCTGCATGCAGGTGGCACCAACAACCTGGTTGATCAGGCCAGCAACTAGGAACCTTGGTCTGGGACTGAGTTGTAGGGGTGGTTACCCCTAAAGCTTACTAGAGATACAAATGTGTGAGCATATTAGGTCGAGGTAGGGATAAGTGGATTTTGGGGTTTGATTTGCTATTGGAGTGTGAGCATTGTGATGTTTCCAGCATATGACTGAATAATGAACTTCGATTTGCTGGACATCACTATTAAGGTGGGAAATGTAGAGTTTTCATTTTAAAAGTTAGGTGAGGACGTTGCAGTTTTGTAGGTCATCAATAGACTGCAATTGTTTTTCCATTCGGGAAAGATAGGTACCTGAGGTGTGAATGATGGTGAATGCATTTTCTTTTTACTATACTGATTAACCTACCATGTTTATTCTGGCTATCTTTGTACACCTGTTAATGAAGTAAAAATGAAGAATTAGACATGTGCAACATCTGGGAATCTTTAGTTTGTAGACATTTTGCCATCCAATGGCTTTATCAATACGTACAAGGACAGTGTGTAGTCTGTGTGGACGAAATTTACATATTATGTCTTTGTATTGTATTGATAAAGCCACTGGGTGGCGGAACGTCTCTCAATATAATACAAAGACATAATATGTAAAGTCTACACACTCTCCTTGTATTGTACTGATAAAGCCACTGGATGGTGAAACGTTTACAAATCAAAGATACCCAGATGTTGCAAGTGTCAAATTCTTCATCTTGTCAGTATTGCATGCCATTCATATGCAACATGAAGTAAAGATCATGAAAATAGTGATTAAATGGTTTATTAACAGGTAACCCAATAGCTGATGCATTTGGTGTGGTAGCACGTGAAGACAGTGCCATCCTGGCCTTGGCTGATGGCGTCAACTGGGGTGAGAAGGCCAGTATAGCAGCCAGGTGTGCCATTCATGGCTGTCTGCACCATCTTAACACAGCACTCTACTCTCCGGCAGCTTCACCCCCAGAAACAACAACAGTCAGTTTCATAATATCTACTTTATAACTAGTACTCTAATAATAAAATTATTAAACAAATCTTGTACAAAAAACTACTTTTATAACCTTTTGAAAATGATGTTGAAGAATAGTTATTTAAGAAGGGGACACAGTCCTTCAATCTAGTTTCTATTCTAAACAGAGCAGATATGCAGTAATTCTTAAGAGTTTTATAATTTAAAAAGCAAGGAATTATAAAAACAAAACTAACACGACTAGTAATATTATAAATGGTAAGATTGACAACAAAATTTGGGGTGTATAGTGTATGTACTAACATACAGGCTATATGTCAAAGTGTACAGAGAAAGCAGGTAAAAATAACAGATGAATGGATGAACCTACTAAAATTATTTGACATTATCTGTATGTCATTTAGCCTGTTTAGCAAGAAAAAATGTCTGGTATACAGTATATAGATAAGTGATTTACATATAAATTTTTTTTTTTATCAACAGGACATCTTTGTGGCACTCTTACGATCATTTCATGCAGCACATAGCCTTATCCTTCAAGAAGAAGGCATGTTAACAACTTTGACTGCAGCTGTAGTGGCACCACTAGCAAACAAGGACCAATTTGTGGTATGTGTGTGCAATGTCGGCGACTCACTGGCTTATATCTATTCACAGAAGTATGGTGTTAGAGAGATCACACAAGGTAAGAAGGATACTTTGTGTCCAGGGAGCATGAGTTGAATTGTCTCATGAGCTATTATTTATTACATCACATGAGTTAATTATGTGGTATCTGCTTTATATTGATTTAGGAAAGTATGCATCAGTATATAACCTTCCATAAAATGTATTGTTTGATGTTGTTTTTAAATTTCAGGTTCGCATGATATTTATAGTATGCGTGATATGCGCGATGCCTTAGGAGCTCTGGGACCTGTGGATGGTCAGAACCCTGAACTGAACAATTTAACATGTTCTTTAACTTACTGTGATCCTGGAGACATTGTCTTTCTGACAAGTGATGGCATCTCCGATAACTTTGATCCAGTTGTTGGGAAATTTGCAATTCCTAGGAAAGAGAAAGAAAAAGAAACTAAGAGCTCCTCAAGAGAATCGCAAAGTACAGAGAGATCAAGTTCAGGGAAGGGAACTCAAGAGCAGCAGAATGGGACACAAGAGACACAAGTAGAAGGATACAAGCCACAAAATTCCTCAAGAGAGTCTCGAAGTAGCGGACAAAGTAGACGCAATGGTGACCGTCAGCAGCCCAGCTTGCAGCATTCTCAGCAGCAGAGAGGTAGATCAAAACGACCTCAACAAGGAGTGAAAGAGCAATCAGTTGGTCCGGGACGAGGAGGAAAACAAGTGAGTCAACTACTGCTGACTCAGAGTATTAATTTTACAGCTCAGAATGATTTGATGTAAAGAGCTATTATTATTGTTGCTGCATACACATTTAAAAAAGTGCTATACCTGTATGAGTCATACATTGCTACACTTAAACCATGTTGTTGCATATAATATAACCTTTCTATATTTTGCCATCTACATTACCATTATTATTAGGTACACTGTCAGTTATCCACAGTTATAATATGTACTAGCTATAAACTTAAGTAAATATTTTAAATCATTCGATAAATAGAACCTCAAGTAACGTGTGGGTTACATTTCCAAAAATCAGTACTTTACTCAAATTAGCACAAACTAGAGTGAAGAGCATATATACATTTTTGAGTTTCCAAATAGGTCACAAAAAATTCTTTGAAAATATGCTTAAAAAGTCAAAAGGAACACATTTATCTTACCTTAAATTCTGGTTGCTATTTCTTGTTGATAAGCAAGTGTGTAGAGCAGGTTGATGTGCTGATGTCAATAGGGAGTTGTCAGTAGATGAATAAGACACATGTACTACAGTAGATTATCTTTATTGTTGAAACATTACACCTACATGGTAGGCTTCAGTTAAATACAGAGGAGAATAAATATGGAGACAGGAGCAGTAATGGTGAGGTACAGATGATGTGATCAGTCCATCAGTCTTGGAGTTCTTAATTGTAATGCAGGTCACTAATTGAAATTTAATTCCACCTAAGTGTGCCATAATGGTAATGGCTTGCTAATATTGGTAATAAAAATAAATATAATTTACAAGATAATGAAAATAAGTGCTATGGTTGTGTGACTTTTGAGGTTCTGTATCTGAGGGTTGTTATGAAATTGATTTTGGTGACATAAGCAAATCATTGACTTAACAGACTAACAGGGAGGGAGCAGGTTGGTAATGGTGACTGTAATGGAAAGAGATGAGATTATTTGGCCATGATCATAGTAACTATAATACATAATTCTCTAACCAACAAACTGGAATCTCACATTTACTATCACACATTTGCTTTTTTTTTTTTTCACCCTTGACTCTGTGCTCTGACAAGAGTTTAACAGTGATATTGTCATTGTCTTAGCTAAAACATGTACTACTAATATATGGACATAATAGTATAATAGTCTTTATTTCTAAAAGTACATGATACAACTTATACAGACCAAGCTGACATCAATGACACTATATAGGAAGCCCCTGGTTATGCAGAGCATTTTGGGCAATTGGGTTAAGTTTGTCCCCAGGATGTGACCCACACCAGTTGACTAACACCTAGGTACCTATTTACTGTTAGGTGAACAGGGACAGCAGGTGTCTTAAGGAAATTCCCAGTGCTTCCACCCTTACAGAAGATCCAACCATGTACATTCAGTGTGTGAGCTGTGTGCTACCAGCTGAGCTACAGGACACCGACATAATGCTACGTTTAACACTGCCTTTTACTAGTGTATCTTTCAGAGCTACCAGCATGAAGATCAGGTGTAGAATTACAGTCTTTGGTTTACATCTTGGCTTAATTAGGTGGAATTCTTTATAAAAATGTGATAAAACATATATCTGTATACCATATTAAATGTGTAGTATGATACTGCATATGAGATGCTATCAAAAAAGTTCCTGGACTGCCACAAAAAGAAATACGTACATACATTTGTGTAACCACCAAGTTGAAGTTGTCTCTCTTGAAGTACAGGCACTCCTCACTTAATGACCTACCTGTTTAACAACCGCATGGACTTATGACCAACTCTCCAACCAGTCGGTATTGTATGCTGTGCAAGAAGTTTGGTTGTGGAAACAGCAGCGTGGCATCTCAGCATCAAACATCTCACATCACCCTTTCTCATTCTCAGTCTCGTTCCCACAGTTGGTTGGTATTCATTACACTAGGGTTCTCAGTCTCCAAGACTATATATTTCATCTATAAATTTGTACTTTATTGTGCACCCTATAGTACAAGATGTCGGCAATAAGGAAGAGCATGGCTTCACCTGGAGGAAGTGCCAAGAAATGGAAGGCTATCAATCTTGAGATGAAAGTGAAGATCATAAATGACTATGAAGCTGGTAAGAAAGTTAAAGCTATAGAATGTGACTTGGAGCTGGTGCATTCAACCATTCTGATGATCCTAAAGAATAAAGATAGAGTGAAAGAGGCATTGAAAGCATCAGCAGGATTTAACCCTATGAGGTCTGTGCTGTAGTTCTATGGCTTTGAAGCCAGGGTCCGTGCCATTGTACATCATGAGCTCAGCTCACTTAGATAAGCTATGAGTGGTAAATTTGGGCCTAGATATGAGAGAAGGCGTCTATGTGGTAAGTGTGCACCATATAAAACAAATCCTGCAGCACACAGTGCATGAGAAAAATACTGTGACTGTGTTTTTGGATTAAATCAGCAACTTTGCGGTGTATTTTCGTTTGCTTTTTACGGTTGTATTCACAGTTTCTTGGTCTCATTTGATAGAATGGAAGATATATTACAGAAATAGAGATGATTTTTGATTGGTTTTAGTACTGAAAATGGCTTGAAATTGAGCTCAAAGTAGCAGAAATGTTCCATTTTTGCCGATATTCAAGAGTATACAAATCACATCATGCATCCAATACACATTAGCTGATGGGGCTCATGTGCATTCATGAATGCACTGATATTATTTATATAATTTCTACAATGTTGCATAACAGTGAATCTTCTGTTTTTTATTGTGAATAAAAATAAAAGTGGAATTCATCTGTAAAGCCTGGAAACTTAACTAATAAATAGAGAAAATGTTATTTTAGTGCCAGGAATGCCTGCATTGCTTATTCTGGACCCTGTTTTGAAATTGGAATATTTTAAACTTGTGTGAAATTGGCCAAATTACCAATTTCTGATCATTTTATTGGGTATTAAAATAGGTGACTGGGCAATTTCTTGTGCTCAGTAGATAAAATGGAACACATACTAGTGAAATAGCTAAGAATTTGGTCTATTGAAACATTGTAATTTGCCGAAAATAGGACTTTGGGCAAAATTGCCGATGCGTAAATATCGCTGACACAGCAAAATTCGCAAGAGCGTAATTTCATCAATTTTTCATAAAATTTCATACTTTTTGTTTTATTACCTTCAGAAAAAGATTCTCTACCATTTCATTAGAAAAAATAATTTTTTTTTTTAAATTCTTGGATCCTGTGGGGAATTTTCAGATTGGGGGGTCTGGACCCTCAAGGAGTTAAAGCCAAAATAACTAGGCAGCGGAAAGGCCTCATTCATGAAATGGAGAAGTTACTGGCGATCTTGTTTGACGACAGATACAAAAAAGAATGCCGATGAGCCTTTTAATAATTCAAGCCAAGCCACGCAATATCTTTGAGACTTTGAAGGCAAAAAATCGATGGAAACATTTACAGCAAGTCATGGATGGTTTCAACAGTTTCATCCTGCATAATCAGAGTAGCAGCGGTGAGGGAGTGACAGACAAGTGCATGCAAGGCATATGGAAAAAATGCCTAAAACGTTTTGTGAATAATTTTGATGGGCTTGACAAAGACGAACATGTCAATGTCATAAATTAAAAAAATTGTGAAACTTGCTGATGTGCTTAATTTAGTTGTTGAAATGGAAGATGTAGAAGAATTAGTGGACTATGTCAAGGGAGAGCTAACTAACAAAGATTTAATAGAGTTGGAAGTGCAGCAGCACTCGGAAGAGAAAAGAATGGAGGAAGTACAAATGAAGTTCACTGTAAAGGGGTTAGCTGGTGTGTTCTCGAAAGTGAATGCTGCTATATTAGAACTAGAGGGTATGGACCCAAATGTTGAATGGTTCATGAAAGTGGAACTGTCAGTGGATGGACTTTTACGATACTACTGTGAAATTTATGAAGAAAAAAAAGGAAAATTACTAAGAAGACCACACTAATGGGATTCTTCTTGAAAGCTACACCCTGGACCCCTACCCCTACCCCTACAAGTCCCTCCACTTCTTCACCATCATCTCCTTTACCTGAGCCCTCAGTAGCTCCTGATAACTCTGCTGATAATTTTGATGATGACCCTCCTTGCTTATTGACCAATTCGCTTAGTGACCTAGTCATAGGAACAGAACTCGGTCATTAAGTAAGGAGTGCCTGTACTCTCCTTGGTAGGTTATACACTGATCCCAGCATCTCTGCCACTTCTCGAAACATTTCTGGTACCTTCTTTTGTAACAACATTTAGTGTGGCCTGCAATTCTGCTTGAATCTTCTCCATGTCATTCAAATGCCACCCCTCAAATGCCATTTTTAATTTTGGGAAGATAAAGAATACACAGATGACTATATCTGAGGAGTAAGAAGGGTGAGGGACATCCACCATGTTGTTTTTGACCAAAAAACGATGGTCTTTCCAGTCTTGAGTCATCAGGTGCAGGCACAGATTTTCAAATTTTCAGTCAAAATGTTATGACATGACCCATAAGAAATTCCCAGAGCACTTGCAGTGACACTCTTCATGAATAGCCTTCCTTACTTTTTCAATGTTGGTGCCTGTTTTTGACATTGATGGACAACCAGAGTGCTCATCATTCTCAACTGATGTTCATCCTGCTTTGAAACAAATCATTCAAAACACTGTGTCCAACACATTGCTTCATTGCCAAATGTTTGCTGAATCATTTTGTGACTTTTACTAGTCATTTTACTTAGCTTGACATGGAATTTCATGCACACACACTGTTTTTTTATTTTAAAGATTCCATTCTGTTACACAAAAAAATCACAACAGTGCACTATGACAAAAAAGGCACATCTAACATCAACAGAAGGACCAACCACACTGAAACTTGCCACACTACTTCACAAAGGATTGTGGAATTGAGACACTTATGCAACCTTACCTTTGCCTTTGATATACCTATGAAGAATTTCGAGAGTATATCTACTCTCTGAGCCCGGCCATGGGCCAGGCTTGTCTGGTACTCGCCTGGTCAACCAGGCTGTTGCTGCTGGAGGCCC